TTTGCCGACCTAACAACTGATAAATATCCTTCCACTGTCAGCTTTTGGCCCTTTTGACACTGTTCACAAAAACAAATGTTCAGATAAAAGGTTCAGAGAGCAGAGAACAGAGAAGGGCTAACGCACGAAACGTCGGCCTTTAAACTCTTTAAGGTAGCCAATTTACGTTTTCAACTCAGTTGATGACACTAAATTACCCCGTTAAAAGCTAATCTTATATTAAACGTACTGCTCTCAGGCACACTCGCTTTACAGCTATAAGATATGTTCATCACTTCAGCGCAACTATGCAAACAACAAAAGTAGCAAATTAAGTCAGTTAATTATAATTACAGTAAGAGAGGTAATTTTTTTTCCGTACACGAGTAATGTGCCTGCTATTCCTAGGTTTGTATTTTCAATGAAACTATCACAATTAACAATATCACATGCTCACTTGACGTGCAATGAATGAGCAGCACTGAGTTAATGTACATTTACTCATGATATCGGGCTTTAAGATTAGACAAAAAAAAAAAAACAACAGAGTAAACGATTCTAATAGTCGCTCAGTTTTATAAACACCACCGGTAGGCCTATTGAAATCACTTTCTCTTTCAAGTCGAGGTGTTGTCTTGAACCTACAAAGTAAGCCTTCTTTTCATAATTTGTTGGAGGCGTATCTCAGTTACATCAGTCCTTTTGATTACTTTTCAGCGGTACAGGTGGTTACTTTCACTTTGTAAGATACCGCTTCCGTCGACATTGGCAATTTTCCTACAACTTCAAAAACATTTTACTAAAACTGACAGAGTCCATTTCAACAGGAAGACAAAAACACAGTTGTTAGCTCACTTGACCGGGTTTTTAAGGGGATGTTTAGCTTTCCGTAAAAAATCGTTTGTCTTAATTCACGCGTTTGAACACAGGAAGTTAAGACGTTTTTGTACGTAAATGGAATCCGACAGCCGGACATGTTTTCGAAATTTTTTGCAATTTGAGATTTTATTTCAAGGACAATTTGACAGTTACATTTTAAGCAGAACTAGACAACTGCTCGATCGGATTTCCTTGAAAACCGAAAGTCAAATACTTCTGGCATCCACATCCTGAAATGTCTCTCTCGAATTGGTCGTGACAAGTTAAAGGACCTTAGTAATGCAAAAATCCTTAGGATCACATATAATGACTTCTTCCTGTTTAAGCTGACAATGTCTCGATCACTGCACCAGTGGCTAATTTCGCGGAAAAGGTCACAGTTAAAGAACAGTTTTGCTTGTCGCAAATGAAATAACTCGAAATTTCATGGTCCACCAAAATCTTGTACAATGGTTCGTAACAAACATAATAAATCTATATTTTTTCAAATAACCTTTGATTTTCTTATCTGAGCAATTTTTGTATTATTACTGAAATAAAAACGATTACCTAGAAACTTTCCCTAACACAAGAATGACTAACACGCTATTATAAAAGACAATCAAGGCTTTACGTCGTCTTGAGTGTGGAACAAAATTACGTCACTTCTTATTGTTGTATCTGTTTCCAACCCGACCGTCAAAATCAAAATACAATTGAAAATATTTTCATTGTTACGGTTTTCTCCTTGTTAATCATTAGAAATAGTTCCCTGTAAAAATAAACTCTTTTTTCTATTCATATGAAATGATCGCTCTGAGCTGTTTTTATCAACATAGCTTCGTCTTCATCCCCGCATTGTCTTTAAGATGAGCTTTTATCCCATCCGAATTTTGAGAAGATAGTGTTTCAAACAACAGTTTCAAAGTAACAGATCTTCTTTAGAAACTCTCTACGGTGTCCTGTTTATATCATAAACTCAGCTGATAGAACCAAATTATCTTGTAACAAATTTTCGTTTCGTTGCCCGACAGAAATTGCCGGTTCTGGTGTATTTTGTGAGTTGTAAGGGTTGACTGAGATCCATCACTTTCCGGATGTTTGTTTCACATTGTTTTCTGGGAGAAACGTTCCAGCAGCAGAGAAAGTACAGATAATAGCAAGACCTGTGCTAGCAGTTAGATCGACCGAGCATATAAGAAAGAGCATGGTAAATTCAATGGTGTAATTTAGTTTGATCAACTGAGTTGATAACGTAAATTGCCACGGTAAAGAGTTTCAAAGCTGACGTTTCGAGCGTTTCGAGCGTTAGCCTTCTTCAGAGCGAATAACGGTATAGACACTACGAAGACCTGTGAAGACCTGTGAAAACCTGAAGAAGACCATTCGCTCAGACGACGGGCTAATGCTCGAAACGTCAGCTTCGAAACTCTTTACGGTGGCTAATTTACGTTATCGACTCAGTTGATAATACTAAATTACCTTGTTACACTCTCCCAGCGACGAAGCGCCACAGTTTCTTTAGAAACTTACCCTTTTATTCATGGTAAATTCAGTGATGCACTGTTGACTTACTCTTGCTTGGTATTTAATAAGAGATTATTTCCAGAAAGGAAAAACTCGTGAGGCGTATCATCAACAATGTTTCTAAATCTTTTGCCTCAAGGTTTAATCAATGTTCTTATCTTTAGCCACATGGTGATTTAGATAACTTAGGAGTAAATTACAGATAGCAGCTAAACAAAAGCAGCTAAACATAAGACGTCTTCACTCATGACTGCATGATCAGCGCTTCTTAGTGTCCACTTTTCTCGAACGTTTGCCGGATTTTCACTGTCGCATAATATTAGGTGCGTTGACCGCAAACGTCGCCTGCTTTCAGCTGCGGCAGTTCGTGCCGGCGCTAAAGCGTAAATATTTGTAGGGTGTAGTTCTCACCATTTCCCATTTCTGTAAACTTTTTTCTTTATCTCAGTGACTTGAGTGACTTAATGTGCACAAAGTAAACGAGTAAAGGGCTTTGAAGAGGGCGGAGTAACTATTTCCGCAGACTCAGGACCGTGTCTACATTTTGTTTTGTCTCGTATTGTAAAATGCGTTAAATCACAGGACAGTAGAAATCTAGCAATGAACGGTTTTGAAAAGATAGGAATGTACATACCTCACGAGATGATTAAACATAGACAATCGATCAGCATCGCTTTGGCAGCGTCTGTTACTTAAGTCTGACATACAATGGAGTTTCCTTCACTGAAACGAACTTAAAAACCTAATTCCAACTGAAAAATGATCCCCGGTGTGAAACTTTCTCGTTAGGCACCAAATAAGGTATGTTTTCGTCTTCCGGCGTGGTTCAAACTTTTAAATCTCTTTTTCTTGCACTTTCTAAAGCATTGTGAACCAATTTTTAAACTATTATCTCTCTTAAATGTATGCGATGTCGAAAGACAAATGGAGTGATTACTCCCCTCTCTGAGAGTAGTCGATAATATAACAAGTTGGAAGGAAAAAAAAAAGCCGAATACTGTAAGCGTCGTTCACTAAATTGTGCTTTTGAAAAGAAGCTTACGTTTGCTTTAGTATTGCTGTCGTTATCGGCATACATTTTCGTTCTAAAATGCCTTGTCTATCTCACACTGAGCGAGAAAAAATTAAACCCAATTCGCTCAACAAGGGGTTGATCCGCATATACAGAAACAAAACATTACAATTTGAATACAAGAAAACTTACCAAACTCTGAGCTGTTACTTTTTTCTCAGAACCTCACAAAAGAAATGCGATTATCTGTATGTGGAATATCATTTTGTCCGCGTGCACGTTAGTAATGTACTATTTATGTACCAGGTTATCCGGTGACAGTTTTTCCGTGTTCCAAACACAGGAAGTCCAAAAATTTATCAGTTAAACAACAAGGAAATATTTTGTTGGGTAATTGTCATATATCAAGACACTAATACATTTCTTGGCCTTCGCTTTATTAAAAAATTTTTGAAAAAAATGAGAAGATAAATAAACTGAAACCATAGGCCATGTTCCTGTATTTGATAGATCCGCAAAGCATACAAACGTCACGTGCTTTTACCGTAAGTACTTAGTACTGGAAGTACTTAGTTGAGATCCGGCCCTTAATAGCTTCATACTATGATCAAGTATACACAATAGGCAATATTGGAAAAATACTGCAATACTGAAAAAATAACTCTTTAAATAGTTCCAATTTAATCCGTTTCAGGCTCAAATTTTTGAAAGCCTTGAAATTTAGCCACGGCTTTGAAAAATTTGAATTTATTCAGTTGTGGACTTCGATCAGGATTTATCATAATATTTGCTTCCAATGATAATGTTCGTGTCATCATATCAAGTATTTATTGCCGTAGGTAGCCGGTATACATTTTAAGCATTTAACACGCTAGCTCATATCTATGAGGAGCCAAAG